GGTATATTTGAGGATATATTTACAGTCACTTTCTAGGTACCTTCGGCTGAGATGCATATAAGTCGACTTGTATACTACATATGTGTGAACAACACATGAATTCTGCTTCAAAACACGTGAAGAAGATGTACTTCAACGGAAACAACCCGAAAATCAACCTGGAAAGTGGAATTCTGGGGTATATTTGAGGATATATGTTCAGTCTCTTTCTAGGTACCTTCGGCTTAGATTTGTATAAGTCGACTTGTGTACTACATATGTGTGAACAACACATGAATTCTGCTTCAAAACACGTGAAGAAGATTCACATCAACGGAAACAACCCGAAAATCAACCTAGAAAATGGAATTCTGGCGTATATTTGAGGATATACTTACAGTCCCTCTCGAGGTACCTTCGGCTGAGATGCATATAAGTCGACTTGTATGCTACATATGTGTGAACAACTCATGAATTCTGCTTCAAAACACGTGAAGAAGATGTACTTGAATGGAAACAACCCGAAAATCAACCTGGAAAGTGAAATTCTGGGGTATGTTAAATATACTATTACAAATGTAAGTTATTAATATAAACAAAACTAATATACATACGAATTATTTGATCATTTGCTTTAAGCAATCTCAGTTCTGACGAATTATACATCACAAGCGTAAATTATAACACAAATTTGTTTTATAAAAATAAATTTATATAATTAAAGTTTAGCTACTCGTAACTTCTGTGCTAGTTTCTGACTCACTGTACTCAACATACTTTTCTATCCAAATTGTGCCAAACGCATCGGCTTGTTTTAAAACAATAACCTTTTCCGCATGCAATTCTAAATATTCAAGAAAAATCAGCAGGTTCTAGATACAGCAATAAATTTGAAAATAAATGCTCGACTTACCTAAACAGAGTACAAAGGTACGTGCAGTTTCTATTTTACTACAATTGTGCGGTAGCAACTCGTGGAAATTTATCCATAATTGATTGCTCCATAAAACTTCCATTTGTGCAAGTAGATCTTGTTTTGTTAGACGCATTGATGAACTGCAAATATGTTTATATTTATTATGAATCTAGAGTGTGGACATATAATATAAGATGACTGACGTAGACTTTTCCCTATAAATCATTTCTGTTTACCTTCTAACGAATGTCTTCCGGACCGTGACGACAGCTTCTCTAAAAGAATTATAAATAAACATGTATATTGTAAAATGTACGTTAAAAACTAGGTTGAATAAATAATTAAAAATAATGTACTCAGGTTTCTCTTCGTGAACAGTAATTTCTGGAACTTGCACCAGCGATTCTGCTTGTGGCTGTTCTGCAATTTGATCTACAAGCTCCCTTTCAACATCCAACAATGGAGCTGTTCTCTCCAATGTCTTGGATTGATCGGTTGTTTCGAGCCTAGCGAGTTGACTTATTTCGACGGTTTGATCTGGTACTTTACTCGTTTCGTCCTTTCGCAGAATTTCTTCAGCTGTAATAAGATTACAATTACAAACATTCCAATTACCAATCTTCTGATATTTACCTATTACATCATCAAATCTAGGTACATCAAATTCGTCTGGTACCATCGAGGGGTAAGTCAAACGTCGACGGAAGGATGTCATTAACGTTTTTCCCCATTTTGTACCAAACATGTGCATCGCAGGCTTCGTTAGATGTTCTTGCGCTGATAACTTCAGCGGTAAGGAAACTTTACACGGTTTAAGCTGTTATCATTGAAACGTACAGTACAGAATGTAAATTTTATATATTAAGAAATCGTCCATAACTAGAAGACTAAGTTTATGAACTCACTGTAGTCTGAAATGTAACGTTCTCCATACGTCTACGCATTGATGTTCCATCCAACATGGTATGTCGATCGATGATTATCCTTCTCTGTGTTCTCATTTGATTAAATTGTTCAGAAGCTTCTATCAATTGCTGTTCCAGAGATAATCTGGGAGGAGCCATAGCATGTGTTTCTATCTGCTGCTCGGATTGCTGTTCTAGTATAATTTCGGCTACAGGCACAGGTGCTGGTTCTAGTTCAATTAGAGTCGTAGGTATCAATTCTCTCTCAGCACTTATCGGCTGGATCTGTAAAATAAAATGTGGTCCATGGAAGTAAGGTAAATGTCTCAATCTCTGTTCACGTGACAATTTCCATTCACTAGCTCGTTTATCTGTAATTTATAAGCCAATAAGTAAATATTGTGATGTGAACAGAAATCGGGACATTTCATGTATAATATTAAAAGAATAAAGATGAAAAAAATTTCAAATTTTTCTTTTTATTCAACATACTTTACTTCTTTTTGAAGGAGGCTCTGTAGGAGATGTTAGAGGCCTCTTCTCAGGAGTAGAAGGAGCAAGTATATTAATTTCACTACCTGAAAGGAAGATAAAGCCTACATTTTTGTACTTGGTTTAGATGTGGAAAATTCTATTGTAAATGGAATTTTTTGATTACCTTCAATCAGAAATTCACGTTGACTAATTGGCTCGTGTGGTAACAAGGTTTCTGATTGTATCGTATTGATTCCTGAAGTACCTGGCATCGGATCTTCCGCTAAGTTCTCAGGAAGATCTGTTGGCTCATTCCAATTGAATCCTCTTATTTCCATACTAAATAATAATGTAATTGTATTTTTAGTTATTAATGTACACATGAAATAACACAGACATGTTTATAATTATAATAAAAAACTATTTAATCCTTTGAACTCGTAATATTGCATAATGAAATATGAAATGTAAGGGATAATAAAAACAAAAATGATGGTTGAAACGAGTACAAACGATTAACAGAGAGATATTTTTCTATCTGCAGAATTAGTAATTGAGATTTTTGGAAATGAAAAAGTGAGTATTAAGAATAGGATCTTGGAAGTGATGATAAATGACGGAGAACTGACAAGGATCCTTCTCCTTCATGTAATAGGAATCTCTCCAGTTCGTCAGTGGTAAGCACTCCGAAATTCATGTCTTCTTGTATCTAAATTTAAATTGAATGTAATATAGTAACATGCAGGTTTAAAATACGAGGTCAGTGCAAAAGTTTGTGCCTCATTTGCAGAGGCAGGTCATATCACATCGTACTTCGACATAGATATTCGTTTTAATATTATATTGTATAAACCTATCTAAAAATAGTACCCTCGCAAGTCTTCATTTTGTCTATTATTATACAAGTTTGGAAAGGACCTGAATATTGAAATTGTAGCAAAAACATTCTATTTGTACATTTGGACTGTGCTCTTGCTTCAAATCAGACAAGAACTTTTGCAATAAAATGAAGGAACAAGATTAAGGAAATAAGACATGCAGCAGCTCTCTTTGTTTTCATTACAAGGAATGATTTTTTCTTACCAAATGTTCACTGGTAATGGGATAAGGTTCTTCTGTAATCAAATGTTTATCCCTTGAGAATGGCAATGCGAGAGCGGGAGGTTCTGGTACCTCGAATAAAAAATCGGATACTGGATGTTCTTGATCCGCGTTTCTTAATCTAAAAAATTATAAGCGTTTACTATTTATACAAATCAGATCTTTCCTAAAGATAAGTACTTCAATAATCATACCTTTTTCTATTATGTAAATTACGGATCTCATTGATTACGCTATCTACAATAAAATAAGAAAACAAAAAATGTTAGAAAAATTTACGAAATACACTTTATTATAAAATATAATAAAGTTCATTATGAAAATTTCGTGACCTTGGAAGTATTTTGTTTGATAGTAAAGAATTCTCGTAGCGCCGAACATTAATTGAGACGAAAGGTAAAGACTTAATCTAACATAGTTTCCCCTGCCTCGCTGTTCAATTACTGATGAGACTTCGGCGCTGAAAATTTAAAGAAAAACCATAGGTATATGACAATAGATCGAGCACCTAAATGGTGGAGACTCTAGACCAGGTGATTCAGAGATAAAAAATGCATTGAAGAGCATGGATCAGCTCCATATAGAAGAGTTCGTTTATTTACTCTATTTTCTCTATATTTTATGGCATTAACAAAATTACATTGAACCCTAGGTCTACTTTCATATGTTTAAATGAAAAACAGCTTGACCGGTTCACAAATAACCAAGTAAATAGTGTGCGATTTAAGAAAGTACGGAGTCAACTGTACGGATACATATATAAGACAAAAAGAGAATCATACCAAACAGCGGCTACATCGATTTGTTTAATCATTATTGCTTTGCAAGTTTTTTTAAACATCTCCTCGCCTAAAATTGCGGCTAACCAGACTCGAGCCAATTTACCCCTTCCTCGAAGGGAGAGCAGCTCCGTTGAGTAAAACATTGTATAATAATTGATGACAATTAATTAAATTATCAAAATCGTATAAAATACAAATTGAAATGATAGAACTTCGTTAAAACTGACTACGACCGTTACAACTCTTACACCGGTTTCCTTAAAGTGGTTCTGGTCGTTCAGTCGTTCTCATTGGTTTTTCTGTAACTCCGAACTCAATCGAGTGTAAGTAAAATAAATCTTTTTAAATGTTGATCTTGTTAAATGATAAATAATATTTGTTAAATCTATTTATGAATTTTGACGTGATCTTATTACGGAAAATTCTTTTTAATTTACTAAAATGAATAAAAGTTTACAGTGCGATTGATTTCGTTGTTATACGTGTTGATTTGGCAACGTCGCCTTTTAAATTCGAAAATGTATATTTCGAAGCTATTTTCTAAGGTAGTAAAATAATTAACAAGTAAATACTAATGATTTTTCAAATCACTCCAAATTATCGTAATATTAATAATTGAGGATATGTACTACTTATTTTAAAATACGTATACGTTCCCATTATATTTGAAATCTTGGACCACCGATTTGAACTGACATATAGTACATGCTCCAAGATATGCTCTAAAGTACCATAAAGTACATACTATGGAAGGAGGAGATCGAAATTTTTAAATGGCAATATTGTAAATGATACACGCGGTGCAACTGAATTAGAAGACAATAAAATAATAATGGATGACACAAGTATTTTAGATGATACAGAACAATATGTATCAAAATCTCATTCTAAGCTTCTGGAAGCTGTATCACAGCTTGATAAAGGGCAAAGGTAAATATATATTAAATTTATAACCTCTATAAGTTTTATTTGTCATTTCTGAGAGACTTATCACACCTGGCATAATGAAATTATTTACTTATTTAACAGTATATAAAGATAATTAAATCAATATTATATGGGAACTGCATCTATTCCATGAGAAAGACATTTTAAATAGCGAAAATAATATGTCACATGGCACAACAAATTTTAATTAAATAGTTGTATAATCACCTTACAGAGTGAAGAAAGTGGAAAGAAGTGAACCTACATTAGAAGTGTCAGAATTTCATTTGGTTAAAAGTGGCATATCTGATCAAGATACAGTTCATGTGCAGGAAATAGCTAGAATTTTAAGGAAAAAAGGTCATCATATTGAGATTGCAAGGAACATAGAAACAGCAAAAAAGAATATTCGTGTATTACCAAAACCATTGGAGAAACCTGCAGCAGAAAGGGTGAGACAGTTAGTTGTTTTATGTAGTAAAAGATCGTAGTCTGTACATAATTCTACATAAGTATTAAGAATAATGTAATAATACACATTTAAAATTGATAAGATTGTTAATTTCTAGATAAAGAGAATAGTTGGCTTTGAAGGTACAAAGAAAGAACTAAAAAAAAATGGAACGCAGTAATAATGAAGAACAGAGTAGCAGACTCACTTCAGTTTCCTTTGAATCATTCGTCATTAAAATTGGAATCATCTAACGAGTTCGTAAAAAAATTTAGAATTCAATCAGATCTAGAGAAAGAACTTGCTGCATTAGAACCACAGAAAGAAAATATTGAAGAGAAAGACGACGAGTTCTCTTTGACATTAAAAGTAATTTGCAAAAAACCGTTTTTCGTTTTTCGTCTATAACTCGTTAACCATTGACACTAGCGAATTCTTTTTGCACAGAAATTGTATATCTCGTCGTCCCCTACAAAATGAGCCTAAATACGCCCCCCTACGTCCACCCGTTCGGGAGTTATTGAGGAAAAACGAAAAGTCTTTTTAAAAGTTCGCTGAATTCGACGGGCGAATTTCGCGAATGCCAATAAAATGCCAATAACTCGTGAAATATTGCAGTTGGAAGCAAAAGAACTTTTGGTTAAAGCATTCTGATGACTAATACGTGTATTTCGCGAAAAAAAACAATTCTTTTTTTTTGACATTTTTCCAAAGGGGTTAGCCTTCAGATTTTCGCGATTTTCGTTTTTCCTCAATAACTCCCGAACGGATGGACGTAGGGGGGTCGTTAGGGTGCCTTTCTTGTAGAGGACGATCTGATCTACAAGAAAGGTCGTATGCACTTTTCGCGTATCTGCAAGGGTTTAGGAGTTATTGAGGAAAAACGAAATTTCTTGTTAAAAGCGAAAATTCTTGGCTCCAATATTGCTGCACCAGAGAGAAAAACGGGTTCGCAGCCGTGAACGCTAGATGGCGCCGCGAGCAACCCCAATGTGGCGTCACTGCGCCAACATATCTAGGGAGTTTTACGCCCTTGCGTTAAACCAATGTAGGCTTCTTCCTTAGCCGTTCAAACTCCTCAACGGTTAACAGTCCTCGTTAACGCATCATCGAGAACGCACGTTCGCGTTACAAATACACGTCTTACCTAAGCCGCGTTCCGCCGTATCCGAATCAATCGTTGATATCCGACGCGCATCCGCCCTCGCGGATTACTATTACGAATAGTGATTAAACGACGAATCGAAGCGAATCGATATCTTTTGTATCGAGCTCAAAATTTCTAGCCACGCGTGGCGATCGTACTTGTAAGCGACCACGAGGTTCGCCATTTTATACAGACATTGTACGCGGGCCTTTTCGCCATCAGAATAAACGATCCTGTGCAATCGTTAATCAGCGTTTATCATTTCTTGGAGGTAGAGCTCCATACCTGCCTCATCATAACGGTTCAGTAAATTTTATTATATGGGAGCAAAGGGTTTTGGAATCCGGAGTCAGATCATAACGGCTCTCGCCATGTGCATGCGTACCACGCATAAGACGATACCAGAGAGTCCTGCTGCCCTGCACACAGCCCCCACATAAATTGGTGACCCCGACGTGATCGGTTAGCTAATTACCGAGTAGATTCAGTGACCGTGAAAAACACGTGGCTAGCGTCCGAACTGAAATTCCGTCCAACGTCGGCCATCCAAACAAAGTGCACGTGGCGTGTTGTACTCGTGCAAATTACTTTGTGCGCGTGTTGTGCAGTGCGCGCATTATCGTTATCGAGACATTCTAATGCCGGTAACGCGTAATCAAGCGCGACTCGAAAACGTTGACCCTCAATCGCCGGATTGTTCAGATCCAGGCATCGCGATGACGGAACCTTCCGGTAATTCCCCAGCGCTCGCGCAGCGTTCCGTTAAGTGTACGTTTCCAACGTTCATCAAGGACGACCCGGAATTATGGCTCAGACAAGTGGAGCTATATTTCGTCCAGAACAATAAAACGACGGACGAGGACAAGTTCGGTGCGGTGTGCGTGAACATTAACGGTGACGCACTCGTGGCTGTGCGTGACATCGTGCTTGCTCCCCCGGAGCAGAGTAAGTACGAGGCCGTTAAACGACGCATTCTCGAAACTTTTGGCGAGTCGCAGGAGGCTAAGCTGCGGCGACTGTTACGAACGCACGAGATGGGCACCGAAAAGCCGTCGGCATATTTGTGTAAGTTGCGCGCGGTTACGAACGCATCTCCAAACGATTCCGTGCTAAGGTCGTTGTTCCTTGAACAATTGCCACCCAAAGTGCGACCGATACTGGCTGTTAGCGACGCAGTCGATTTACAAACGCTCGCGTTGTATGCGGATCGCATCTACGAACAATTTAATGTGCTCGGGAGTTCCGCGTCATCGCCGGGAGTGAGTGCGGTCGCGAGCGCATCGAGTCCGACGCCGACCATTAGCTCGAGTGCTAGTTCGGGTTATTCAGATCCGTTGTTAGAAATTTGCGGTCGCTTACGCAGACTCGAGGCTGAGATTCGTAACTTGAAAGACGCTGGTGCGCGAAGTGACAGTTTCCGCCGTCGACATAGATCGCAAGAACGCAATCGCGGTCGATCTAAATCTCGCGACGGGTTGTGCTACATTCACCGCCGATACGGTGAGCAAGCGCGAGGCTGCAGACCCCCATGCAGTTGGTCTCGTTCTTCCGCACAGGGAAACGGAAACCTCCGGTAGTCTCGGCGACAACCACCGGAGCATTTACACAACGTCGCCTCATCGTCAGTGACAGGGTCTCTGGAACACCTTTCCTGATTGACACGGGCGCAGATGTGTCTGTCATCCCTGCATCGGTGCAGGATCGGCAACGTCCACAAGGACCACCTTTTTTCGCCGCCAACGAGACGAAAATCCTCACGTTCGGGGAAAGAATTTTAAAACTCGACCTAGGTCTTGGTCGCCCCATGGAATGGCCTTTCACGATTGCTGTCGTCAATAGAGCAATCATTGGTACTGATTTTTTGAATCATTTTGATTTGCTAGTAGATGTTCGAGCTGCAAGACTCATTGACGCCAAGTCATCAAGCGAAGCACGCGGAACAGTGACTTCGTCGTCGACCCCGTCGATACTGCGAGTCAAGGGCAGCAACCGGTACCAAGAGCTCCTGAACGAGACCCCTTCACTGCTAAGGGAACAGCGAGCTTCGACGAAAATTCCTCACGACGTGGTCCATTTCATCGAGACCACTGGGCCACCATTGACAGCTAGAGCTCGCCGCCTGGATCCAGAGAAGTTCAGGTCAGCACGCCATGTATTTGATGAAATGGTCCAGCAAGGTATTTGTCGTCCATCCAAGAGTCCGTGGGCCAGCCCGCTCCACATGGTGAAGAAGAAGGACGGATCATGGCGTCCTTGTGGAGATTACAGGCGGTTGAACAGTGTGACGGTCCCGGATCGTTACCCAATACCATTCCTACAAGACTGTACTGCTTTCCTGCATGGATCCAGTATCTTTTCCACTATCGATCTGAAACGCGCCTATCATCAGATCCCGATCAGAGAGGAAGACGTACCCAAGACGGCAATCATAACCCCGTTTGGGCTGTTCGAATTCACCCGGATGACCTTCGGCTTGCGTAATGCGGCTCAATCTTTTCAGAGGTTCATGAACGAGGTGCTCGCAGGGTTGGACTTCTGCGCGATTTACATCGACGACGTCCTCATCGCCTCCTCGTCTCCGGAGGAACACGAACGTCATCTTCGCCAGCTTTTCGAGCGTCTTCAACGGTACGGTCTCTTGGTCAACAGGGAGAAATGTGTTTTCGGCCAGGCGCAGGTGGATTACCTAGGACATCGCATCAGCAAGGATGGTGTCATACCTTTGCCTATTAAGGTAAAGGCCATCGTGGATTTTCCACTGCCGACCACGGTTAAGGACCTGCGACGTTTCCTGGGAATGGTGAACTTCTACCATCGCTTCCTCAAGAACGCTGCAGTCATTCAGACTCCACTGCAGTCGCTGGTTGCTGGAAGCCGCAAACAAAATGCCCAGGTCATTGAGTGGACGGAGGTCGCGAAGACCGCTTTTCAGCGACTCAAGGATGAGCTTGCTCGAGCAACTTTCCTAGCTTTCCCAGCAAGCGACGTGGAAATTGCACTACAGACCGACGCGTCCAATACTGCCATTGGTGCAGTATTACAGCAGAAGGTTGACGGAAACTGGCAACCATTAAGTTTCTTCTCTAAGAAACTGGCACCCGCCGAGCAAAAATACAGCACGTATGATCGCGAACTCCTTGCGATTCACAAGGCCATCAAGTATTTCCGAGACACTCTCGAAGGCAGGAAGTTCCACATCATCACCGACCACAAGCCGCTAACATCTATGTTTTCTCGCGCATCCAACCATTCTACGTCCAGGCAAACTAATCAGATCTCTTTTATTTCGGAATTTACAACAGATATCAGATACATTTCTGGAACCGACAACATGGTGGCTGACGCTCTCTCGCGCGTTGAGTCGATCACAATGCCTGTCTCGCTCGATACCCATGTTATCGCCGAGGCACAGGCCACGGATCAACAGCTCCGCCAGCTTCTCGCATCTACCACCACCGGTTTGAAACTCTGTAAATTCTCGCTTACAGGATCTAATGACGTTCTATATTGTGCAGTCTCCGACGACAGCATCCGAACATACATCCCAGAACCGCTCCGCAAGCAAGTGTTTGATCTGGCACACAGCATGTCACATCCAGGAACGAGAGCTACACGGAAGTATATCGCGGACCATTTCGTCTGGCCCGGCATGAATTCGGACATCGCCGAATGGGTCAAGACCTGTCTCACGTGTCAACGGGCAAAGATCGGCAGACACACTCATATGCTTCCAGATAAGATCACAGTCCCTGATGGTCGTTTCGAGCACATCCACATTGACATTGTGGGTCCACTGCCGCCGTCACATGGTTACTCGTATTTGCTGACCATGATGGATCGATTCTCTCGATGGCCCGAGGCTGTTCCGATCAAGGACATCACGGCAGCCGCAGTCGCGGATACAGTTTTCGCCCACTGGATCGCTCGTTTTGGCGCTCCCAGGCTAATAACGACCGACAGAGGATCGCAGTTTGAGGCTCAACTCTTCGCTGCTTTGGTGAAACTGACGGGTGCACACCGCTGCAGGACAACCGCCTACCACCCGCAGGCAAATGGGCTAATTGAACGCTGGCACCGCTCCTTGAAAGTGGCTCTTTCGTGTCACCAACCTACGGAGTGGATCGACGCGCTGCCCGTCGTCCTCTTAGGATTACGCACCGCGTACAAAGAGGATCTTAAAGCGTCTCCGGCCGAATACCTGTATGGTACCACACTTA